GCTTCAAAAAGATCTAGTACANACCCTTGAAGAAGAAACAAGGAAAACGAGAAAATCATATATATTTCGTGTGCTGCAATTTCTATTTTGATCTCCTTCTCCCCACGTACGTCACTCAAGATCAACTTCGTTGTCTCAAAGGTCTCTTGATAAGGAGATTATTATTACCCTAGTGTGGTGTTCCTCCCCTGTTTCTGGCTTTGTAACTTGTAGTTGCTCTGCATTAAACTCCATTTCGAGATGTCTTTAATGTCGGTTTAGCATTTGTTGGTTTGGGATGCTTTTTTGCCTTTTAATGAAGTTTGGTTCGGATGGAAAAAAAAATGGTACTCTTTAATGTTTACTGCAAGTGAAAACATGTTCGCCTAAACAATTTACAAAAGCAATAACTTATTTTACATAATTTAGCCAGTCTTAACATATTGTATGGATCTAGCTAGTCTCAGAGATTGATNAGAACCCTTGAGAGTTGGCTGNTTTTTTTCTTTGACGCTAACAACACTTCCCTTCTGTTAGTATTCGTTCTATTTCACTTGGTAATAAATCATCTTGTCCACGTTACAAGGACCAAAATTTTGCTATTTTATCCAAGTAACCATCGTGCCTAACTTTTAGCAACAAAAGAAAAAAAACCATTATGCCTAACTGGATATCCCATGTTACAAAATTAAACACTAAAAGTAACCTGATCAATCTCAATATGCAGATAGTCAATCACCCAAGAAAAACTATCACCTAATAAGCAAAACTCCATGCCCATATTCACAGTANACAAGCAAGTTTTTTTTTTCTTTTTTGAAGACCAATTCAACGATTATTGGTAGTGGCATTTTGTTACTTTTTTTTTGAGGTTTTCTACATAAATCAAAGTCATTAGTCAGTCCATCTAGAATCCAACAATTTCATATATTGTCACTGAAAATAAGGTACATATATTGTTTTCATATACAAAGTCAACGTACACTATTAGTCAGCTCAACTTTAATATGAAATGGCAAAGAAGTCGTATTTGGCATTTCCTCAAAAAGTAGGGATAAAAGAATTATCTCTTAAATTTCAAATCTATAGCCATTCGTTTATCAACAAGAGAATCTTCTAATGTAGAAACCGCGTTCACTTGTCGATATTCAGAAATAATTGTGCTTTTTAGTAGAAAAAACAAATTACCAAAAAAACGAAAAAAATATGAGGTTAGGCGTCTTCTATATATTTACCACAAGACTTACAATGACCAAAAACACTAGGAAGAAGAAAATGGGTTCTAAGTCGCCAAATATTGTTGCATTTGTGTTATCACTACTTGTTATACTTCTCACNCTTTCCTTTCAAGTTGGAGTCGTGGAATCTACTGGCCGCAAACTTGGTAAGTGGTCTTTACAATATGTACACGTAGTATTAAGTAAAAATTCTGANTGAACCGAACTTGATATCGATTTAATCCACATAAGTAAAAACCAAACTTCTCTAAAATTGGTTAATGTTTGACAGCATGGGGGTTTAGGGGAGCGCCTATCGTGTGGACACCACCCTCAAGATCATGTGGAACTTCTCCAGCATCGGTACTGTCTTCGGNGTGGAGGCCACGCCGACCATGTAGACGTCCTCCTGGAACTAATATCCCTGTTTCTCAATCTCCTTAACACTCATCNGATACTTCGTGTTTCTCTCTCTCTCTATCTCAGAATTTTGAAGTTATCTGCAATATAAAGTGTGTTAGTTTTCAAAAAAAATAATATAAAGTGTGTGTGTTGTTATCTGAAATGTAAAATAGTAGTAGTAACTAGACGAATGTTTTATCACCTAATAACAACATTTGTTATTTTCTTTAGTCTTTTATCCAACAACCTAATCTTCACAGGTTTATAAACCCAGTTAGAAAAAATCCTCATATACAAACTCTGATTTCTACCATTCACAAGCTCCGCATAAAAAGAGAGAGACAACT